TCCATCCTATCACATGATTTACAAGAGTTGCAGCAAAAATAATTAGATTTCATTCAAAAAAGAAAAAAAAAAAAAGAAAAAAAAAAAGGGAAAACCACAATACTTACATTTTCGACCACTTCGTCAAGAACATGCAAACTTCTTTAGAAATCAATTATAATGGTGGGTAACTCCAGCTTTTCCAACTTAAGAAAATGACAGTAACATGCATCAAGGGCCTTCAATTTCACAATATAAAATAGCCACACCTTCTTCTTTAGAAACCCCTAACTCCTTGGTATGAAATTAGACGAAATAAGATAACAATCAACAAGTTCAACGGGATTGAGGGGAAAAACCTCATTTGCGATTTAATTATTATTGGAGTTTAGATTCAGTTGATGTAAACAGAGAGTGAAATGATAGAGAAATTGATAAAATTAAGCAATTAACTGAGTCAAATTTTCAATTCTTCATTTTGGATATGGAGGATAGTGTGATTGATTTCTGGGTTTGATTTGATTTGGTTAGGGCTAATAGGAGTTAATGAATTGATACGATAGAATAAAGAAAAGGGAAAGCTGGTAATAAAAAAATACGAAGTACATAGTTAGCGTGAGGAAAACAATTCCCAAAAGGAAAGTTTATAAGATTTTTTTTTTTCTTTTTTTTTTTTTTTTTGAAAGAAGGAAAGTTTATGAGATAGCTAAAAATAAAAGTCAAAGATATTTTTTATTTTGAGGTAAAAAACATGGAGTAATTATTATGGATAATGAAGTCTGTTTTTTACACTACTACTACAAGCTAAGCGACACAAAAAATCGTGTGTGTCAATATATCATGCTCGATTATTAGTATTCTCTTTTCAGATGAAAGGTTTTTTTAAAAACACAAAAAAAAAAAGACAAAATTGAGAGGGATATTTTGGGAAAGTGAAATTTATCACCATCACCATCACGTAAATATAGAATGAATATATTAAAAAGAAAAAGAAAACAAAAACAAAATCAAAAAATTATTCTTATAGATAACAACTAAAAAAATGATAAAATTTAATATTAACAAGAAAAAACAAATCTTAAAAAATGATATGAATAACAATTAAAAAAGAATAGATTGTAAAGAATGATAAAATTTATATAGAGAAATATGATGGATTGTATTTCCTTATAAATATCCCTTAATTAATTGACAATACATAGAAAAACGTTAATTGTGTTTTTTTTCATAGTCAGATACCCCAAGATTCATGGCTACACAAAGTGAAAATTACAATACCTTCGAGGATGCAATAGTAAACAAAGATACAACTGAGGTTGGAGATGAAGATGGAAAAAAATTAATCTTATCACCGTCATTGATCGGAGGCACAAGAAATATGTACCAGAATTACAAAGAAACAATATACTCTACACACTACATATTTAGGGCTACAAAAAAAAATAGGATAATCCTGTCAGCGTCATTCACAGGAGACCCAAGATACCTAAATCAAAACTACAAAAAAAGAATAGAGTACTCTATATAGAGGTGTACAAGAGATCATTCTATTTGAACATCACAAATTGTTTTTTTTTTTAAATTTTTTTTGATAATAATAATAATAATAATTTTTTAATATTGAAATATTTTTATTATTCTTTTTGATTTTTGACATTATTATTATTATATGCTGATAATTTCTGGTAGCTCTGTGGACTATATAATATAATATACTGTATAATTGGTCATCGATCCATTAATGAAAGTAATAGAGTTGTGACTTGTGTAGTTGCGTTGGCATGCATGAAACTAATATGTTCCTACTGTTCAAATCAATTGTAACACACATGTAAATTAAAGCATTCTTTCCTCTTAACAAATTACATCTTTTGCAATCCAAATCCAAAATGAACACAAACCGCAACACTTACCAACTATCCTAATGTCTTCAAATCCTTTTAATATTATTATTATTATTATTATTATTATTATTATTAGTATTAGTATTTAATAAGACACAAATCTTAAATAATTTTAAAAAGAAACCCGTGCGTCGCACGGGCTTCACACCTAGTAAAATTATAAAAGCGTCTAAAAACATTAATCTCTTTCTCCTCTCTCCTCTTTCTAAAACCTTAGCATCCAAGGTTCAATTTTGAAAGGCCTTTCATCGATTTTTTCTAGTGGAAAGCTCATATCCTAGATTATTACCACTAAGCTAATACCTAGGCCCTATTCATTTCACCTTATTTTTGCCGAACTTAAATTATTTTTATTTAACTAGAATTAATTTTACTAAAATAAAATTATTTTTTCCGAACATAAATTATTTTTGTCGAGCAGAAATTTAATTTTGTTGAATAATTTTTTTTTCAAGATAAATTGAATAGGATTGGTATTTCATTTTATAGAGGGGGGGGGGGGGGGGGGGTAGGGTGGAGGTTTGATACTTGCCTAAAGTAGAGTATTTGGAAGAGACGAAGGGTCATTCTACAATTTAGCTACATTTTTCTAAAATATCCTTGGCCTCACATGTACAAACAAACAAACAAATATTACATAAATAATTAAACACAAGTATAAGACTTGGTAATAATGTAAGTGATTTTTTAAAAATATAATTTGCAATACGCCAACACGGCATTTTTTAGCATTCATACATGTGTTTGAATTTTGAAGTATTATCCCCCCATCCCCTCCTACTCTTAGAATACCTAATTCGTTAATTCGATGCGAGTTGACCCGTAAAAAGTTTCAAATTGATAAGAAGTTTTCTTAACTACCAAAAAATATAAAATTGTGTCATTTGTGTGTGTCATGCATCGTAATATGGTATTATGGAAATTCACTAGTCTTTATACTATACTTATTTATCATTAAATAATCATTTCGATTAATTAAATAGAAAAAACTTTAGATAAGTGGTCTCCTACAAAAATTTAAAAAATGTAAAGAGCTCAACATATATACCTACCAACGACCAAAAAATCGTTGCATAGCAGAATATTTTAATAAGTGGATTTATATATAATAAATTAATAAAATTAAGTACTACTCCGTATTATTTATCAATAGCTTAATTAATCTATCAGCTAGATGATTGATTAAAGATCACGTATGAATGATATGATTGATATGATAGGAACAAAATTATTGTTAAATATAATGCTTCTTTCAGCTGTTATTTGTCCTACCAATAACAACTTTAGGTAGTAATGTAGTATACATGCAAATTTGAACATAATCAACCGAATGAACCGATCTTGCCTTCAAGGTCCTTTTCTTTACCTATATTTCATTCTCACAATTTTGGAGACCACATTATTTACATATTAGAACATGTTTAGTAAGTAAAACTCTTTTAAGATTGGAAATTAATTCAAGTAAATCATTATCATTATCGAGTGTTTTTGAGGACCAATATCCATTACCTCTAAATAAATGTTTACACATATTTTTTTTTTTTCACTTCTCTACATTTCTCTAAATATTTTTTTTTAGGGAAACATATTCTTGTTATTTCATTATAATAATTACATTTCTTTTTGAAGAAACATATTCTCTTTGTTTCATTATAATAGTTACATATTCTTACAACTAATCATTACTCACATAGAAACATATTCCCCATACCTCTATTTTATAGTAGCAACAACAACAACATTTTTTTTTTGAATGGTACGACAACAACATTGCCTTTGAGGTCCTTGCTTGCAAAAATAATAAATAGTTAGAGCTACATGCTTGACTAGTTTTTTAATTTTTTTTTTTTTTTTTGGTTGGTAAGAAGAAGGGCCTTGTCGGGCCGAAAAATATGACAGGTCCCCCCTTTGTAAATAATAGTAAAAAATTGTATGTGCCAATCACCCATGTGAAACCTACTAAAGCTATAAGTGATTAATGCCTTTTCATTAGAGAGATAGTACATACATGATGAGAATCGAATCTCACACCTTAAGGATGAGGGGCGACCTCTAGAGGTCTTTCTCAAATGTAACCGTATAATGAAACATATGAAAGTAGACTAGTTTTTATTTTACCATCTACGATTATTGTTAACGCATACACACCAATAAGAAGAAAAGTGTACATGAGAAAAAATGAGAGTGTAAAAAAAACAAATAGCCTAAACTAATGAGAAAAAAATTATTCTACTTATGGGGAGAATTAATTCAGCGCATTTGTTAAGGAGTTTTTAAAGTGATGAACAATGCTATGGTGGACCCCACAAGAAAACTGATATTCAATTTTTTTTAAGTATAAATAATTATTAAAAAAATAAAAGTGAAAATAAAAAAGGTGATGTGTATTGTGATGGGTATAGGAAATAGTAGGAGAGATAGTTGTGAGGAGGTTTTTTTTTAACCATCGATGTGGTAAAAAAATTACTTTTGAGGAAAAATGGGTGGGTAGACAGGTAGAGTGTGAAATTGGGGTAGAGAGAGAATATGTGAATGCTCTTATTACAATATACTAAGGCCTTGTTCTTTTGAGCTTCTGGGTAGGGCAGAGAAGAATAGATTAAATTTCAGCAGAGCAGATTTCAGGATAGCAGAGCACAGCAGAACAGAACAGGGTCAACAGAGCAGAGGCGAAGAGCAGATTAAATTTCAGCAGAGCAGATTTCAGGATAATAGAGCAGAGCAGATTTCAGGATAATAGAGCAGAACAGATTAAATTTCAGTAGAGCAAATTTCAGGATAGCAGAGCAGAGCATAGCAGATTTCAACATTACTACTATTGCTACTACTACTGCTGCTACTGCTACTACTGCTGCTACTACTACTCTGCTGCTGCTACTACTTTTAATTAATTATAATTATTTAATTTTAATATTTTTCAAATAATAATTAATTTTAACAACAATAATAATTAATATTCAATAATAATAATTAATATTGTATTGATGATAATAATTTATTATTTTGAATAATTATTATTGTTGTTAATATTAATTATTATTTCAAAATAGAGCAAAGCAGGGCTCAACAGAGCAGAGTAGCTCTAAAGTTCAGCTCCTAAGTTCCTTCTATCATAAAATATTTATTTCAACTCTATTCAGTTTAATTTAGCTCCAATCAGTTCAGTTCAATAAATGTGTACAGACTTTAAGTATTAGAATACTACTCCCTCCGTCCCTAAATTACATTCCTACTTCTCTAATTTAGGGACGGAGATAGTACAAGGTTTACAACAGCCACAACAACACGTGATATTTCTACTTGACCCACACATACGAGTATACGACACGGCAACGTTTTTTGACAAAACAAATTGCGTTCTCAATTGATGATCACCCAAGCCCCAACTCGATCAAAAATTCAAAATCCACAATTCCAAAAACCGTTAAACCGAATTTTCAAAAATCCAAACCCGTTATAAACCAATCAAAACCCACAAAATCCCGAAAAACCCGCAAAAATGGCGACCCCACTTAAATCCCAAAACATTTTTGCCTCCATTGATATGGGCACTAACACTTTCAAACTCTTGATCATCCATTTCGAACCCACCACTGCCAAGTTCACCACCATCTACACTCTCTCCGACACCGTCGAATTGGGCCGCAATTCATCGTCGTCGTCGTTAATCTCGCCGGATTCCCAGCTCCGAGCAATTGAATCCCTCAAGAAATTCCAAGAAGTTTTAAGGTCCAACAATATGACTCAAATTAGGGTAGTTGGAACTTCCGCCATTAGAGAAGCTGGAAACCGGAGTATCTTCCTTAAAGAGGTGAGAGAAAATCTGGGTTTTGATTTTGAAGTGAATGTCTTATCTGGGGTTGATGAAGCTAGGTTAATTTATGTTGGTGTGCTTCAATTTTTATCTGTTTATGATAAAAGGATTTTGACTGTAGATATTGGAGGTGGGTCTACTGAATTTGTGGTTGGGAAACATGGGGAGGTTGTTTATGCTGATTCTTTGAGATTAGGGCATTTGATGCTGACCCAGAAATTTGGGGAGAATGATTTGGTTGGAATTAGGGATTATGTTCGTGAGTTGATTGAAGGATCTGGGTTGGTTGGGAAAGTGAATAATTTAGGGTTTGAGGTTGCAATTGGATCATCTGGGACGATTCGAGCAATTGAGAAGGCGATTTGGTGTGGTTATGGATGTGATGATGGTGATAAAGAGATTAGGGTTTTGGGGGAAGGTAAGAGGAGGAATTGGTGGTGGTTTAGTAGAGATGAATTGAGGGGTCTTGTGGAGAGATTGTGTGAGGGAGGGTTTAGTGAGAGGGAGAAGGCTCGAAGAGACGGGTTCTTTGGTAAGAGGTCGGAGTTCATTGTGGCGGGTGCGATTCTTTTGGAAGAAATTATGGGGTTGCTTGGGATTAGTGAGATGCAGATTTCCAGGTACGCGTTGGGAGAGGGTGTAGTGGCTGAGATGGTGTCTGAGGCTTTTCCGGGGTTGGATTTAAATGCCAATGTTAGATGGAAATCGGTGATGAGACTTGCTATGAGGTTTAATGGGAATGATAGGATGAAGAATGGTGTTCAGTCTTCTGCTATCGCGAAGGTATTACTTGTTGGAGCTCTGGTTTGGATGTAAGACCAATTAAAATGTTTATGCTAATGAGTTTATTGTTGGATAATCGTTGTAGGATATATTTCAAGGTCTGAGGAAGTACAGCAAGGTTTTTGAAGATCGCTTAACTGTTGAATTGTGTCTTGATGAGAAGGATTTTGAGTATCTTGAAGCTGCTTGTATGCTTCACAATATTGGTCTCTATTTTGGGAAAAAGAGCTACCATAAACAGTCTTGTAGCATAATCATGGTAGGATATTTGCATTTTCCAGTTTACTTTCTTAACATGATACTTTTCCTATATATTGGTGAAAAAGTAAGAATTAGCAAGTAGCAAGTACAATTTTCTGACATTAAGCCAAATAGCCAATCATTATCTGAAATGTTGGTATGACTTGGAATTACTTGGACCCTAAGGGAATGGAACATGATACTTTCTCATTTTGGTATTGATAGTCACATATATTATGTCACATATCCTAGAATAGAAATAGATTGTGATTGGATTTCTTAATATACCTGCACTTAAATTGAGTAGCTGAGAGCCTGAGACAATGTGACTACTTTTTCTAGATGAGTGGATTGTGCGAACTTCTTAACAGATCTAGCTCAATATGTTTTAACAGTGGAAGAAACAGTTGCTTTTTTGAATGATGATTGTGCTGATGAACTAGAGTGCACTTTTGAGCATAGCATAGATTTATTATTGTGTTTGCATGGTATATAATCATATTGCTTTAGGCATTTGGGCAACAATTAGAAACATAGTAGTCTTTCTAGACTTTGTACACAAGTGCTAAAAATGCAGTAAATTGACTTTGTACATAAGTGCTAAAAATGCTGTAAATTGACTGTTGAATCTGTCAGTGATGGATGACATCTTCATTACGGATTGATGAGGTTGGGTAATTATATGAATAACGTTAATTTAGGTGGTGCTAAATTATTTTTCGTGGCTTTTGCAAACTTGTTCCCTTACAGTAGGCTTTTGTGGCAGGAACAGAGCCAGCTAGATGGTTACACCAGTGAGGAGATTGAGGTATATTTAATGATACCTCTATAGTTCTAATTTTGTATAGACAGTGCTATAGCTCCATTGTCTTTGTCCTTTTATTGGTGATTGTTACTTGTTATTAATGCAGTTGATAGCACAACTTGCTAGACATCATCGGAAGAAGTTCCCTAAATTTGAATGTACTTTTCTCCAAGGTTTCTCAAGAGAGGTACGCCCGCCCCTCCCCCCCCCCCCCCCCAAAAAAAAAAAAAAAAAAAAGAAAAAACCTATACTTGCATAATTCAATGGTGAAGTTAAAGTGTAATGATATTCTTGCTTTTGTGAAACTTATAAATTTAATTTATTACAGAAATTTGGACTTTTCTGCTCCATTTTACGTATATCAGTCATCATTCAGCAGCACAAGCTATTGAAGCTCAGAGAGATCAAATTTGATGATTCTGGTGAAGGCTTTGTGTTGGTAAGCAATCTTGTTTAAATTTTTAAGAAGTCAGAGCACTTTACATGAAGCTGGCAGGTGATGTTCAGTCAACGATAATATAATAGCTATAATGATGTTCTAAGGATCAAGTTCATATCAATAAAAACTGACAGATGCTGGGATCTTCCTACTCTTCATGTTTTGCTAAAGAAACTGCAGTAAAATAGTTATACACTTATACTCTGTCCAGAATTAGTTTTCGCATTGTCTAATTACTGTCCAGAATTAGTTTTCGCATTGTCTAATTATCTTATAAAATAGAGTTAGATGTGTTCTTACAAAAAGACCCTTTAAAGATAGAAATAAAAATATCTGGTTTGATGTTTTGATATTTTCGTTGTCGTGTGCCCTTCATGCAAGTCCAAATTTTGTGTCCAGTGACCCCAATGGAAATATAAATGGCTGTAGTTGATGAGTTTTATCTTGAAAACATGATAATTTGTCAATTATCCTTCCTTTACTCCTTGTTTCCTATTGGTAAATTTGATGTTTTTTTATGTAGGCTTTGGTGAATAAGGGTGACCTACCTATGCTTCCCGATTCAGAGAAATCATTGGCCAAGGATATTGAAGCTAAAATGGGGAAAGAAGCAGAATATTTTGAAGCGGTACAAACTATGGTCTTAAGTGTAGATTTCAATGTGATCAATCAATATAATATTACTTCTTCGTAACAATCTCCTTATCATCTTCAGGTCTTTCATTGGAAGTTATTGACTGTAGTTCATATGGACAGTTCAGAGTCATTGGTGTAATGCTTGCATACAATCCTGTTGAACTTACCATACCGTAGAACTTGGGTACTGGTGCAAATCTTGGACTATGTTGTAGACTCGTAGAGTGGAAACATGGAAGTTGTAGCTGTTGGGTAAGTATACGTGGTACGGAGTAGTTTAGAAGCTTATTTAACTTACTTCATAAACATTGTCATTGCTAAAAATTACTTTTTAGTACTTAATTGGTGTTTTGCAGATCTGATCAGTCAAAGCTCAACACTATGTGTTGTTGAAGAACAAAGCAATCGAATTTCATCTGTGTGGACTGTATCATGAAGGTGATGAACCGGTAGGTTTATTTTCCTGTCTCATTTCTAGTTCTTGTTAATAACATTAAAATCCAATAGAACTTTTTTGTTGATTGCCCCGTTGTCCGTGTTATGATGAAGCGATGTGATTTTTACAGGAATGGTTTTTTCTTGGTTCTTTCCTTGTGTGTTCAATTAAAATCTCAGATGAAGGCCAAAACTCCAGAAATTTGATTGATAAATGAGCTGTGTCTTCATTGAGCATGTCATTTTGATGAAAATCTCTTTTTGGATCATCAGATGTCCCTATCAATCTGTGAGTAATCGTCTCTCTTTTTTGCTGTACTTTTGTTTCTTGTGAAGTGTGGTGTTCTGTTAGAAACTCAGTTTTGCATGCTTGTCTTACAAATGTATTCATACAGGTAATACAGCAACTTGAACTTCATTTGCAGCATTGCCGATCGAGCTGATATACTGATATGCTAGTGCTCTTGGACATACACTGAATTACAGAATTAGTGAATGTCCATACTAGTAAAACTGTAAAAGTTGTGATATACTGAACTAGTACATTTCCACTTATAAGGCTTTCCTCTTAGATAGTAACTTTGTGTTGATCTTGTATGCCAAATTAATAAATTATGCAATTAAGCAATTTGGGCCTTTATAGATTTTTTGAGAGTCCTATCGACCACTTCCCTTAATTTGGCTGTTGTTCATTACCATCTGGTGGCCTACCTACCATCATTCGTAGCAGTTAACATGAAGCGGGCAAATACTTGGGGTGTTTTCAACACTAGCTTGCAGAATTGAAGTGTGTGGTTGATAAGGCTAAACCGCTTGCTATTTTGCATACTTGTGCTAATACACATGGATATTTATGGATGAACGATGACAAATTCCAATATTAAAAGTTAAATGCATATTCATGGTAATACACGAGATATTTATACTTGTTATGTCTTATGTACATAAAATACTTTTAAAGCATGGTGTGATAAAGAATTACAACTTATATAGTGGATTAGGTAAAAGCACTTTTTTTTTTCTTCCTTTTCTTCTTGTCCTAATATATTACTTTTTTTGGACATGTTTGTTTAAGAAAAATCAGTTTCTAACCCAAATCTCAAAATGCTAAAGGTTCAAGATATGGGGTTAAGACTTAAGAGAGAGGGGGGGGGGCGGGTATGAGTGTATGGCTTTTACCAAACCTCTTGTGTATCAAATAAATGAAATATAAATCAACCTTGAACAATATTACAATAACCAAACCATGGTATATAGGAAGTATATTAAGAATCAAGTTTTACCCCCACTAACCGTTCTGATTATTTTTTGGTTCTAAACTCATATCATTGTCTAAACCAGTTTATAAAGATATCAAAAGATTACTTATCACTTCTAACCGACGTCTAGCTAATACAAGTACTTTATTTATTTGTATCTTTCTTAAAATTTCAATCAAATTGTTCATAATTATGGCATGTACCTTGAAGTTGCGTCAAAGTAATTCATGATCATGATAGGCACATGGACACTTTAAAAATGTCAATCACTCAACAGCTACCATAATCATGTCAACTGCTCTACTAATTACACTTTAGCTCATTAACTTATTAAATTTTCTACGTCGGATGGATCATATTTTTCAAAAATATTGTTAATTTTTTCACTTCGACGATTAGTAGATGTAAAAATTAAGAGGAATCAATCAAACTTCATGTGTGTGTATAAAAGAATATATATGATCATAATAATATATAGTTAAGCATAGATTAAACATAACAATTATTTCCCATCTCAATTCTCAATTCTAGGTACTATAGATAAGGGATCAGAAAGGAAAGTTATCTATGGGAAAAATTCCCAATACTAACTATTCATATAGGCAAGGGATTGGACGGGAAAATTATCTATGGGAAACCATTTAATTGACGCTCTTTTAAAGAGAAAATACACAATGAAATTGTTCATAACCAAGTTCATGTAAGAGGTAAAATAAAAAGATTAATACCTTATGTCAATATAAGTGTCCCAAGAAAACAAGAAAATATAATTCACTTGTTACTATGGAGTATCTATTAATCTGTGCATCTTGTTTTGGACTTGATGCTTATTTGAACAAAGAAAAAACACTGCTTTTTTTGCTCAATAAACCAATAATTTAATTGGGTTTGGGACATAGACAAGCACGCAAAAGGAAACAAAAAACAAAAGTAGACACATACATCATGTGTTCATGTCAATTTTGTACTAGAACTTTTGTAAGAAATGTTATTGGTAACAAATGACAAAAAAATATGATGGTATAAATTGCATGATGAAATCTAATGGGACCTTATATACCCCAAGTGTCAACTTTTCTATATGCATTACACATCATGCACCATGCAATTTGAGCCTCCAAATCTTAACTTATATTTTCGTATCACCTACCATTTCTAGTCATTATGTAGTGTTGGCATCTTTTGGGCTTTGTGTGCATTATTTTAGCAATTCTATTGTGTTATTACTTACTAGTTATAGGGTCTGTTCACATTTACTGAACTGAGCTCAATTGAATTAAACTGATTGGAGCTGAGCTGAACTGAACTGAATTGAATTGATTGGAAATGAACTGAGCTGAAATGAATATTTTATAAGAGAAGGAAATTAAGAGCTGAACTAAATTGATTGAAGTCGAACCGAAATGAAATTAAGTTGAAGTGAACAAACCTTTAGTTACTCCCTCTATTCTTAAAACTATAAGAAGTAAGTGTACATAAGTGGACATAATTGTTGATAGCAAGATAGAAAGAGACATCAAATGAAGTTGCATGGGAGGAAAATTTTAAATTAAAGATATGGAGCAATTTCTTAAAGACATTCGTTTTTAGCACTATCTCCGTTACATATTATTTGCAACAATTTGACATAAAATAGAGAGGAAAAATTTCCAATCGTTGCAAATAATATGTAACGGAGGTAGTATATGAAACAATCTTATAGAAATAACGGAAGGGATTTGTGTTACACGCCATACATTACATCTTTTTTGATTGTCATTTGATGGCTTAATAGTTAATACGTTAGATAATGCACTTAGATAACAAATTTAAGTAAAATTTGGTTCATTCATTGGCAAAAAGTAAAGTGTGCTAATTTACAAGGAGCCTAAATTGTTATCGTGGGTAGTAAAGCTAGTAAATACATGTACATGCAAGTGGATGCAATGAGCCAATGACCCACTCCAACAAAACCCCTAAAAAAAATTGTGCCTCATAACACTAAACCAATTTGTGCTCTCAAAATATATATTTAAATAACAATTTGTAATTATAAAACCACTCAAATTATGTGCATCTAACGACTTGACCACTGAAATTCGGCCAAATAACTAATTCATTTTTAATGATAGCCAATTTTTTACTTCGTACCAAAGATGAAATATTAGTCATAATATTATCTCGAATAATCAAATTTTATGTGCGTTAAAAAAAAAAAAAAAAAATCAAAATTGCCTAAGATGGAAAGATCCCGTTCCCCGGTGGGTCTACAACACCGCCGCATTTCGGACAAATTTCAATGTTGTACTCCTATTCTTTAATGATTTTTTAGGGTTTTTTCTTATCCAAAAACCACCCAAAGTCCCCATCAAATCCCATCAAAAAGGAGGTACAGAAAATTAAGGTTAGTTGGCAAAAGGGCCTTCTACTATATTATCAAACCAAAAATCCCATTTTTTTGTACTTCTTTTCTCTATTTCTAAATTACTGAAGAAAAGAAAAGACACTATTTTTTCTCTGTTTCAGCAAATTTTCAGGTTTGGTTATTCACAATCTTGTGCTATTTTGATGATTGCTTTCATACCCACTTTGTGTTTCTTGCTTTTTCTACAATTATTTGGTTGAAGTACTACTCTTTGATTCTCTTTTTATCATACCCACATTGTATAATTTGCAAATTGTCCTATTTGTTCTTGTATTTTGATATTTCTATGAAATTTGGCTGTTATTTAATACTTGTATTAATTTGCGGGTCTCAGAAATTGTATTAGCATCTTGATTTTATTAAGTAAATAAAAATTGAATCTTTGAATGTAGCATAAGATGAAAAAATGATTGATTTAACTTTTATAGTATAGAGAGCTACCAAATTGGTGTGATTTTCATGCAATTTCATTTTTTTTTAGGTGTTGACTTATTGCGGCCTTTTTGTTCATTATTAGAAGTGGATCTTTTCATGCAAGCTCTTTTAATGATAGTTTTGGACTTTTGGGTTTCAAAGTTGTAATCTATCTTTTGATTCAGAGCCAATTTTTAGTATATAAGAGAGTGTTGAAGGCTAAATTCTGGTTGAAAATATAATTTTCTATCTTGTACAAGTGATTTAAGGTGATGTTTTGCTTTGTCTTCTATTAAATGGTTGCACCAGCGTCTATTGACTATTTATAGCCGATGGCTGGATGACTAGTTTCTTGAACAAAGAGTGAATTGGTTGGACATGAGTTTTTTATATTGTGTACAATAAACACCAATTTTCAGAGTAGGTTTTATATTTGTTACCTTTGATAACCTATGTAGTTTATGTGACAGATGATAATGATATTTCAATCCGGACGCCTTATAAAAAAAAATAGTTGTGAAGGACTATGAATGTAAATAGTTATTATGTTGTTTTCAGGAGCGTTTGTGTATGTGCTTTTTCTTAACAAGGTTTCACTCTTAAGGAGAACTCTAACACGATTTCTTTGCTAATTTTTTAGAGGCTCGGTATAGATTAATGGTAGCTGTTTAGGTTATAGTCTTATAGAGATCATTGTGCTTGTAGCTTTGGCCTACCTCTCAATGCAAATTATCTTTCATCTACAGGAATTGTTACAAATTTTCCTTAACGAAGGAAGTCTAGATAGAACATATTTTTCTGAAACACAGTCCATCAATGAAACGTTAGTATTGTCTTTGACAAGCTGATTAAGTATCTTTCCTGTGCCAAAAATCTTCTGGAATAAAACAAAGGAGTGACTACACATGTTTGTTTCTTTGTCTGTCTGCTATTTTGATGTTCTGGTTCAAGCATCAGATGAATTAGTGATAAAGTAAGGGTCTCTCCATTTTGGGATGCCTGATCTAGTTATGCTGGCTAGTTAAATTTGAAATTGAATTCATCTTGACTAGTAGGTACTTGAATACCTATCACTCTAGCAAATTCCTGACTTCACATCGCAAAGTACTGGATTTCTGATTTTCTATTGCCCAAGTATTTTCTCCAATAGGATAACATGGTGACAGATTTTTGCACTCACATTCCTATACAAACAGTATCATTTTCCAAATTTAGAGTTAAATGTTGTCAAATCACTCTCACACAAGCTTCAAGTATGCCTCATCTTTCCGGAGTTCTTATATTGGTCTTTAATCATTCTTTTGTATTTGCTGTTGTGGTCATGAAACTTTGATAGTGCTTTCAGCTCCTGCTTTTTATCTGAATTTCTCTGATGTCAAAATGAGTTCCTATTCTCCTCGGTGCACCATGCAAGACTGTCTAATGTAGAATGTGGTATCTCTGATTAAAGTGACCAAGACTGTCTACGGTTGGCATACTTGGAAAATGACATTATTGTTGTAGGATCAAAGTCAGATATGTTGTTTAATCCTGTAAGTGGTTACTGAGCAAATCAGATTGTTCAGTATCAAATTTTAAAGGGATAGCTAAATAGAAGATGCAACTATTTTGTCATATTATGAAAGAAAAAAAAGAGAGTTAATTTTAGGATCCACAAGAAAGCAGCATCAATTTGTGAGACTCCTTATTCAATTACGTGAATAAAATTAGAGATGTTTTGCTTTCCTTTGCTGGTATATTCCTTACCATTTCTATTCTTTTGAATCTTGAACCTTTGGTAGATATACTATATTGACTTCTGGCAGTCTGGTGGCGGCTCTGTTCTCTAATTTATTTATTTATTTATTATTTATTTTTATTTTTTTGTCTTGATAAGAGACTCTGGTCCTCTTGCCTTGATGCTAAGTGACTCAAAATTTTGAAATTTATATCTTGGTCTAATATTTTCTTCTGATGTGCCATGAGATGTCTGGCTAGTTTCATGAAAATTTTGTGCTAGATCTCATAGTTTAAATCAAAGATGGCTACCTTATGTCTTGTGTAAACTTATAATTTTAATTTTAATCATGTTCATTCGAATTGGAAACTCTTTGTGCTGTGTAGGATCTTCAGTCATTGTATCATGGGCTTTGAAGAAAGAGTTGTGGAGCATGATGATGTGAAGCAAGATGAGCAATCGGGGGCTCTGAGCCTGCATGCATTTTCTGATTTGTCATGCGTTTCACCCGTTGTATTTCTTTTTTTATTAAAAGAATCATATATCTACGGTAGTACTACTCTGCTGTAAAATATTATTAAGTGGTTGTTAATCATGATTATTTCTCATGTTCTTTAAATGTTTTTTTTTTTTGTGAATTAACCATTGTCTTTTGGACTCTTGCCTTTTCCTGTCTTACTGAGTTGTTTCGAGTACTTAATGTTATGGGCATCTGAAATTCTGGATGTAATTAATTCCCCCCCCCCCCCCCTCCTGGTAGCTTACAGTGTAGTGCATAGTCATTAGTCATGCAGTTCTCTTGCTTGTTTACAAATTTTATTAGTCGACAGTTGTGTTTATCATTAAAGGAACACTGATTCAGGCTTGGCTGATAAAAATTGATGTTAATGAGGTTAAGCAACTAGGCATTGCAAGTAGAGCAGTCATGTCCTACTTTATTTAATTTTTTAAATAGCCTCCTTTGCCAAAGAAGGCAAACAGAGGAAGAGTTGACTTACATACTTTTATATTTTGGTGTTATAGGGAAGTCTAAAGCAACCAAAAAATTCCGTGCTCTGCAACAACAAGTCAATTTAGCCCTCATAAACGCCCCTCACCCTGGACCAGCTGTCTTTATTGTCCGTTGCCTATATGTGCTTCCAGTATTCGAATCATATGCTGATGGCTTCAGTCACTTGATTGTATCTGCTCTTCGTAAATTCCTGAAATCCAATACCAATCCCGCTGACTTGCTAGAAGCACAAGATCTTGCTGCACAGTTATTTCTCGATGTTGTCCAAGGCGTTGTCATCCATGATGAAAGAATACTTCTAAAGCTAATTGAAGCTGTTGATTTGAAGTTGGTGAATGTTGAAAAAGCTATACACAATTCCGCTGCAAAGAACTGTACTTATGACAAAGCTGAAGCTTTCATGGAGAATTATATTCATCAACACATAGAATCTCAGTCGTATATGACTGCTGTCTCTTTGTTGGAACAATTTGATATTCGTCACTCAGGAGAATCTCTCCTAATTAAAATATTGGAGAACAAAGACTTTAGAGCAGCAGAGAAGTGGGCATCATATGTGGGTAAGTCAATGTTATGTATTCTTGTTCAGGAATACGTTAAGATGAATATGCTAAAACCTGCATATGGGATTATAAAGAGGAACAATTTACAAGAGGAATTTCCAGATGTTTACCATAAATGTAAAGAAAGGTGAATTTTCCTGCATAAATGTTTCTCATAAGCTAACACTTTTTTTTTTTAAAAAATAAAATTAATTTGAATCATGAATGAAAATAATATTATTGAATTGTAGCTCATTGAAGACTTTAGCTGAAAAAGGATGCTGGGATGTTGCAGAAGAGAGGACAAAGAATGATAGACAGCTTCTTGAATATCTGGTGAGCGGGTTTTTTGGAAATTAGTTTGAGCCCAAACCTAATAAATACATTCCTGTGATTCCAACAGCTTCTAACAACACATGTAGATTCTAACAACAGCTTCTTTCAGAGCACTTAGTTTGAATTTTTCAAAACCACTTAAATAGCTGGTCTATTTCTGATTAAGAACTTAACTTGCTTAATTCTACCTCTATTTCACAATAGATGATCTTTTTTCATGTCTTGTGCTATTAAATATTTTTGGAATGCTCAATTTATATTTTCATAATATAGTATAATATTTTTAATTAATTACTGTACTTGAATTAATGGTCAAAGTGGTGTGTTGGAAAGTAAAAAGGTCAAAACAGTACATCCATGCGAAACGGAGGTAGTAATGGCTTATCAAGGGGTTTGGCAGCTTTGGATTCATTCTTATGTTTTCATTACCCAACCAATGAGGCCAAAATTGTTAATTTCTCGTTTAATCCGTTCATCCCCTAGTGTGATGTAAGCTGCTTCCTTTGCACGAGGCTTTAAACTGGATGAATAATTTATCTTTTATCCATCCAGTAATTTGAGGATTTGTTTATATTTTATATATATTGAGTTGCTTATTGGCTAATGGCTACTTGATTCTAGATTGCTCTGGCTTACTTGTTATGTCTCTTTCTTTATTCCAATATAACTTTTTGCTGCAATCTCTTAGAAAAACTGACAATATTAGAAAACAAATCTCTCTATGACTACTGAATAGATACTCTTGCCACCTATTATGCTTACTAAGGAAAGCTGGTGTTTCACTAACTGCTTGAATGCATACTTTTCTACTAACTAGGACCTAACACCTTTCTTATACATCAAAAAGGTTTATTTGGCGATGGAGGCTGGCTACTCTGAGAAGGTTGATGAATTATGTGAACGTTACTCACTGGAAGGATTCGTGAAAGCTAAAGGTAAAATTTTGGTCCTTTTGCTTGACCTTCATTTTTCCTTGCCAGACACACGTCACACAGTTATAGCTGATTATCAAATTTCTTGAAGATCAGCAATCAGGGGAGGGAATAATAAATTTATTTTTTTTAAAAAATCTTATTAACAGATTTCACTTATTTTGAATTATCAGGGGGCCAGAGCTATCCACAAAAATAATAGCAGAACAAATTTATCTGAAAAAAGATAAACTGATTTCTTTTACCCAGCATATTTGGGTCTTGTTTCAAAATCTGGATAATTATCTTGACCTTTGGGCCGTTTAGGCTTTAGACCTTTGACTATATTGTGACTGGTGGTCTTTGACTGTATTGTATTAATGATTAGTGTCTTATACTTTTATCAGTTGAATACCTGGTTTCATCCTTTCGTGTTGGTCTTGGTGTATTCTGCTATTGATATTAACTAATTGTTTGTCCTAATATCTGAAGCATCAAGGTTCCATATTTAATGTATTTTAGAACCTTTTTCCTTACAATTTCACATGTTTGCTTGTAGCTGAAAATATATTTGATGATCTGTTGTGCAAGATAAGATGGTGACACTTGCTGTTGATAATGTAATTAATTTTCTTGTTCATCAAACAAAGCACGCAAAATTAAGATAGGTCCATATGTAGGGCTGTCGGCCCAGAAAGACATGAATGTTATCCTATATTTTTTTTGGTGGTTGCAGAACCTGAGGTCCATCCTCTTCAGAGTCATTATCTGCATTTGCACGAATTGTTCATAGATGACATTATTTGGGTTGATGAGGCTGATAGTCTGCAAAAAGCGACTTCTTATATTGAAGGGTGTAAAGTTGTTGGTGTGGATTGTGAATGGAAGCCTAACTATGTGAAAGGTAGCAAAGGCAACAAGGTACAGTCATTACAAACTTCTCATATGGTTTCACTATGTTCATAGTGCTTCATTTCCTTTAAGGTGCACTTTGCTATCAAATTGTAAAAAAAGAAGGTTTTGTGAAATGTTGAAGCCAAAGGCTGCAATTTCTAGTAAAAATAAAGGTGCTAAGAGATTATCTGATGATGAAATATATTCACATATTGCTGTAGCAGCTGTAAGCTTGTACTGTATTGACGAAACTAATGCATCTTAAAATGATCCTGGGTTTAATTGATGGCTGATTTGAGACTTTTCTTGGTGTCCATTGGAGCTTGGAGCTTATTGATTTAGTGGTTTTGAGCTCATATGTTTATGGGCTTGGAGACTGTATTTTAGCCTCTTTCATTAGTTTGCTGAATATTCCTGTTTTACTGGACTTGAAGCTTTGTTTTATGAAGCTGGACCCTTTCTTTTATCTTTCCTGATGTTGCCTGTTCATCGTTCCCTTGGTTGACAGGTTTCTATCATGCAAATTGCTTCCGAAAAGGTTGCTTTCATTTTTGATTTAATTAAGCTATACGATGATGCTCCTGAAGTTTTGAACAATTGCTTGATTCGTATTCTGCAATCTCCAAGAATTCTGAAGCTTGGTATGTATATCATCGTAATTGGTTTCCTTGTTTTCTTCTTCATTTTCTACCTTTTGTTGAAGTGTTTATGTAGCACCAGAACGACTACCTGTTCTGTCTATGTCAATTTTATGTTGTGATTACCAGATTATGGCATTTAATGACATTGCTCCCATTTGTGCTATATCTAGGCTATAATTTTCAATGTGATATGCATCAGTTGGCTCATTCTTACCAAAAGTTGGACTGCTTCAAGCGTTATGAAATGCTTCTGGACATCCAGAAAGTGTTTAATGAGCCTTGTGGTGGGTTGTCTGGCCTTGTGAAGGTAATTCATTATGATCTTCTGGTGCCTTTTCCTTTTTACCCTGTTGAGCTGTTTATGGCTTACACTGATAAAAAAAATACCGCTAATGTTCGATGTAGAAAATACTGGGAACTGGTCTAAACAAAACGAGAAGGAACAGCAACTGGGAACTAAGGCCGTTGAGTCAGCAACAAGTTAGTAACATTTCTGTTTGATCATTTTTCTTTTGTCACACCTTGTCACCACTTCTTATATGGACATTCTGCAGCTGGAGTATGCTGCTCTTGATGCGGTTGTTCTCGTCCATCTATTCCACCATATCCGCAGCCACTCTCAACCTGTTGACGTCGAAGACAAAAATGTCAAAATAGAGTGGAAATCCCATATTGTAAGTGCATCGACTAAATCGAATGAATCTCTGTTTAAAGCTCTGACTGGAATGCCAATTATGGATCAAAGTCAGGCTACAAGGTGAAGATAAGTTTTTTGATTCTCATATAAGTTTTTTCTTCTGTTCATTATGTCCCTCAGTCACCTTTATAGTTTGTCTTTCTCAATTACTCTTAATCTAATGGCTGCAAAGTTTTCTTTTAATGTATATGCACACAATTGCTCTCACACTCATAGACACGCCTCTGAGAGAGAGCAATGGTTTATCACTCGTGATTTTGCAATTCGTGATAACATATGGTTTTTGTTGTGCTGTTTTATTTTCTTCTATCTTTGGTTGCAGGCTTCACACCTTGGTGACACAAAGATGTCGAGGAAGAAAGATCTTAGTTTTGAGAAGCATTCTGAAATTGAAGCCGGGCATCCCAAATTGTCCTAGACTTATAACACCACAGTTCTACGTCTCCTATTCCCTGAGTAATGAATTGTATATACATCTAGCTTTCAAGAATTTGGTCAGATGCTGACTTCAAGAAGGTGTCGACTTGCACTTTGTATATATACTATGCTACACTGTCAACATATTGTATATATAACTCTTGAGTTTAATTGGGCTCTGATTCAAGTAAAATGTTCTTTTTAATTTTTGTTAACACAAACACATTATACTTTTCTCTCTCTTTTTTTTTTTTTTTTTTTTCGTATGATTGGAGTTGGAGTGATGCTACCCCAGGCATACTATAGTATAGGGAAAGAGAAGGCGACAGGAGCTAGGGACTGGTCCGGGGGGTGAGTAGCTCACCCAGGGACTCGATCTGGACTTGTAGTCATGGTACAAGCAGTGAAGCAACAGTACATGTCCGTGCATATAGTATTAACTTATTCATCTTTATCCAACGTATTACAAATTTATAATTAGTTTACAATTGAAATAGTCTCCATTGTCATATGGTTGTAACAGCTGCAGAATCAAAAAATTACTAGTACATCATCATTTACAGGAGGTAATAAAGCTATTCCTGTAAATTATCAGATGAAATAAAATTAAATCTAAATTAAAATTAAATTAACTGGTTATCTTAAACATAATATATAGTATGAAAAGGTATTTTCTTGTGTTTAATGACCGAATTATGTAATGATATAGGCTAACATTTCCAAAGCAATCTGTCCCTGATATTAAGGTAACTTCTAAATATAAGTAAATCCATATCATATTAATCTTTCACAACAAATGAACAAAACATATCGTCATTAATCCTCTTAATATTAATCCTAGCTAAATCATTTTTCTTCTCCCCTCCTCACATCAAACGAAAGAATTTAAAAGGGAAAAAAAAAGGAGAGAAACGGGGAACAAGGGAGGAGAGGTGGCAATAATGCACGACTTCCGGTCGCCTTATAGCCATTCCTATGGATATGAAGGCAACCGGAGAGTCGAGTTTAATGGCATTGATCAATATACAGCTGTGGATCAAATGTACGTAGCCAGATCTCGAGGGTCAGCCCCTCGAAAAGGCCTTGTTCGTAGATCGAAACGTAAATCATCCTTAAATACAAAGTCATCAAGCTCTTTTATGTTTTCAGTTAAGGCATGGTATAATAATCCTGAACAAAAGAGGAAAAGAAGAATGGCTAAATATAAGATATATGATATGGAAGGTAAGGTTAAGAGTTCCTTTAAGAAAGGATATCGTTGGTTGAAGAAAAGGTGCTTACGTATTGTACATGGATATTATTAATTATTTTTTTTTAAAACAATATTTTATTGAAAATTTGAAAAATTAAGAAAGTTGTATTAAAAGAAAAGCAATAAGAGATCATTTTGTTGTGAAAATAAAGGAAAACATAATTGAGAGAGAATTAATCTAAGTATATTATTCCATATATTAGGGGTATATATATATAGAATACAATTAGGGTTTGCTTAGATAACAAAAAACCCTAGATTTAGAATATTCCGGAATGATATAAGGATAATGGATATCCACACAATATTTTCATAACACTCCCCCTTGGATGTCCATTATCGAAGATTGTGCCTCGTTAAAACCTTAATAGGAAAAACCCTATGGGATAAAAACCTAATTAAGGAAAAAGAGTACAACATTCTTCGTAATACGCTCAAAATGTTGCCTCATTAAAAACCTTACCAGGAAAACCCAATGTGGGACAAAACCATGGTCAAGGGAAAAAGAGTGCATCGCGTATTTTCACCCCCTGATGAATACATAAGTAACATAACTTGAGATCTTCTAGTCCCGCACCAATGAATCCAATATAGTTGAATATCTTCTCATATGTGGTAAAATAACATTCGTTGATCTTCAATCCTCCCAAACTCAAATTACATCTTCAAATCTTCAAGTCTTCATGTGAACATGTGAAGTGTCTTTATTTCATCATATATACATGTGTTTTTCTCTAATATCATTATTTCAAATCTTTGTTTAATAGTTGATTTAAAAGTTAAACTTATACGGTTACAACATCTTTTGGAAGTCGTGAATAATAGAAATTGATGATTATTATTTGATCAAACATTCATTAATAATAATTTGATGACAAAACTTGATATTACTAATGTCGTTCTTCAATCTCATATGAATTATAATATAACGCATGTAATTATATACATTGATCATAGTTCTTCTGGACCATAAGAAAACATCCTCAAGCATAAGTATTCCATTAATATTCTTTAGACATTTCATAATTGACATGATAGTTCTCTTACAGATATAAATAGTAATTCTCACTAACTTTTATATGCTCAATCTTCAGGTTGAGATATCAATGATGTAGTCACATTGACTAAGAGTTTGATAATAATTACAATATTCTGAATATTAAATTTTTAGGGCTATAAATACGTACATTGCATATAAGTTCTTTAGGAACTTTTCTTACATGATATTAAATCAATGACATTAACAATTTCATCACAACTGTGAGCCCACTGAAATATAAATATCTCTTTGAAAGTTCATATAAATGTTGTAAATACGCCTTATTATATTTTGGGCGAACATTCACACATCTCATAATAATTATATCTAAATTAGTGCATGCAATATGAGATATATAGAAACCATGATTAGATATTGAACAAAATATACAATGAGTAATGCATGTAACAACTTCCTACATATGCAATGAATAATCCATTAACCTATGACTATCACATGCATGTATATGAACATACATAAACTCGAAATACTGCAAGACACTGTACAGTGTGGACTTAAAAATCCATATTTCATTGGACTTCTAGTCCATGATAAAATTATGATCATTGTCATAATGCCGACATCAAAATGGACATATATTCAGATCCCTTATTCACTAGTCCATTCTATCATGCATATGCATTATTTATCGGTTCCATATACCGGTATCATCATGTAATTTCTCATGGTACAATTTTAATTTGCATGCTATTTTTGACATTGATATCTGAATACATTTTTCATTTGGTACCATCATTATTTTTCTTATATCATAGGTCATCTATTGTAATAAAAATTTAGATATCTATACCACTTTTTCAGGTATTTATACACCATGATATTTATATACTATATATTACACTATTAGAGTTAACTGCACTATCTATCTTGTCGTATATCATATCCATTAGACATATATTTATTTTGGAACCGATCATACAACCTACACTTCAGGTGTAGTGATTCAAGTATAATTGGCAAGATTTATCTCAATGTATACACATTATTAATATGATCAAAATGTATCTTCAACGCTATGCAACATGAGTCATAACTGAATACAAATTAAATCACAAATGTGCAAAATATATAGACAAAAGTTGACATATAATTTTTCAAAGTACCATTATAGGGATCATAGTTATTATTTATTTAATTTATAATTTTTCCAACTTTTGCTAATTCGTTCTTCTCCCCCTAAGTTGGTAAAATATCTCATTTATAGGGGCGTTTAATTCTATACCAACTTAGTAGACAAATTTGCACTAATAAAATTCACTTCATTAGGAGGATCACAATCAAAATTTATTTCTCAAAAGATTTGTAATAAAGAAGTTATATCTCTTTTGGAGAACAATTTCAATGAAAAATCATTTCTTCATGAACTTTACATTGCATGTGTATCTATTATTACCCTTTTCATTATATTTTTTGGAAAAATAATGTCTATGGGGAGACATGTGTTGTGCAGTACATTTTTCCTTCTTTTCCAAATTTTTATGTGCTGACATATAATAGCGCCAATCAAAAGAATTGTTATAAACATAAATGATAAATAACTTGTTTGTAATTCTACTAGGTGGTGATCTTCTGGATCTTTAAAAACTTAAATAGTGTATTTGGTGAGCTTCTGGTCACCTAATAGTTGACAATAATATATAAGTTCTTTTGGTGAACTTCTGGTCACCCATTACTCTTTTATATAAGAAATTAAAATCTAATAACTCTTGAAATTTTCATCAATACAAGTTATTATGAATCACAATTCAACTATAGCTCAATCTCAATGTTATGTCTTGCCATTCAATTCATTTCATAATATTTAACATTGAGAGAGCGTCAGCACATTATCAAATGAAACTTCAGATTTCCATAGCGAGTAATTATTAAACCCGGATGACCTAATTTAATTATCACATCCAATCACTTCTCTAAATTTTAAGTTTGGTCAGTTTTCCAACACTAGTGATCACTTTATTAAGCTTACTTTATGCATGGCCATGGATATGATGTGATATTAGAACACCAACATGTGTATCTTTATATAATTGGCAAGACAATTTGGCAAGATAATCAACTAATACTTTATCAAGTAATTACTCATACTCTACTAGAGCTTTGACTATAATCTTGATACATACTCTTCTGGAGTCTTTCATATAATCATGGAATATATAAAGTTTACTATAAGTGATTTTTCCTAGTAATGGGATTTATCACTTCCTCAAGCTTGTCATTATCAATAGTTGCTCCCTTCCTTTTTTCGAAGGTTATTATATTTTAAATCTATTGGACTACTATGCTTCAGGCGTGCTTTAAGTTCATTAGTAACCGATGTTGTCCTTCTGGGACATCAATTTTAATTGGAGCATTTACAGCTGACATATAGTCAATGACACTTATTCATATCCATCTTCAGGATGGTGTCATTGTAAATATGTGATATTATGTGGTAGCTTATATTAAATAAATTATTGACATTGATATTAAAGCTAATATATACATGACTGATTATCATTGATATCATATAATTTATGTGCAAGGATTACATATAATAATGAAATAAATATTATCTCCCTTTAATCCTTGCATACGGGGGTTTGAAATTTATTCAACAACCTTTAAAATCCCTTTATGCATTTTAAACCATAAAACCTTTTGACAATGTCATGTATCAAGTTAAGTAAATTAGTATTATATAACTCTTGTTTGTTCCTGCTCTTGCCCAATTAGATCAGCCTTTATACTCATGAGTCATGACATTGTGAAATCACATTAGTATTATGACTTGTAGATATCTTCATATTATTTTTGAGGGTTTATGACCCTGTATAAATTTATGGAACTGCAAGTCCATATGTATTTCACATCAATTTATTCATCATTTCTATAATCCAACTTCACGCGCGCAAATACTATCATATTATTACACATCAATCAATGTTTCATCCAAGAAATCCTGACAATATGTTTCATAATAGGTTTCACTTATAAGATTACTAACATGTCATGTCAGAGGAAAATCATACTTAAGATATTTCACATGATTCAACATATCAATGTCATACATAAAACTTATGTAGCACATAATTAAGTATATACATTACCATAATTTTACAAGTCATATGCCTTATGTAAAACATTTTAGCGAAATTAATTCTTTGTAGTTGAAAACTCTTATATTACAAGAAGTATTTCATAATGGGAATAAACATAGCTCCTATATGTATAAATAGTTGAAACAATATGCTACCCCCGCATAACAAATGTTCACGGAAACATTTAACAAATGGGTCAGGAGTTCAAAATCCACATTTTTACCGCATGTAGATTACATAAAAACAAACTTTGTACGACTTTGCTTACTGGTCTTTTGTAAAATTGAGCCTTTTAATTCTTCTATCAAGCATAGAGATATAACGAGTCTTATTTAGACCTTTAACAAGAAAAATAAACGATATACATAACAATTATACATATATTAAGTTCATGAATATACTAAATCAAAGTATCGAATATTAAAATCAACTGTTCAAAATTCCCTATTAAAGTTAAGCTAATACGAGTAATAAGGATACTCATCAAAATTAATAGCATTGAATGAAAGGTATTATATATTGTGCTAAAACCTACTAATTAAAATATCTTATCATTGATAGAATAATAAAAAGAATCAAACTGGAACATTATGATAATAATATAATGTAGTCTTGTTATAAGAAATACAATCATAGTATATTATCTTGTATGTTAATTATGAAACCAACAAATCTGTAGCTAGAATGGGGTATGGACGTATGGTAGTCCGTTAAAGTAAGAATATACTCCATAAATTTATCTGTTAATCTCTTGGCAAGATTATATCTAATCTTTTGATTAGATTAACATTGCCCGAGAGCTAAACTTATTGTAAGCCATGCATAATTAGTTATATATTGTCCCCTTAATAACGGATCTCATTTCTTATTGTTTATCCAATTTGATATTATCTTCAAGGAATAATATCGTCAATATGTAACCAAAAAATCGACAAGGTTTTTCTATCTTTAAATGGAACATACCATATGAAACAATAAATTTAGCAAATACACCTAGCTTAACAATCCATTGTAAATACCTCTAGAGATTAGGGTGAAAGTACAATCATTCAAAAACTAACAATTCTTAATCAACTAAGAAAAATGAGTTCCACAATCAATTACGATTTACCAAGGCAATGAACACAATAAATATTATTAGTAGTAATAATGTAAATCACTAGCACTTTAGTGACAAATAAATAAATTCATATGGAAGTATTTCTCTTCAATACTGAAAAATTTTAGTCAAACCAACTTACTTTATCTAGTTAATCTCATACACTAACTTAACCCCTCACATAGAGGACAACATAAAAATAATATTAGTCATAATCAGGGGTACATATGATTATAAGTGACTTTACCAATTTTAAAGTTCAGATGAAACTTCCCTGGTTTCAAGATGGTCTTGTCACACGACTCATACTTTTGATATTTTGTTGTAGCATGCCGAATTACAACTTCTCGATCTCAATATTGTGTAATCTCCGAACCTACAATAAAACAATGTAGCAAATTAAAATTGAAAGGTCTTTGTTCATCTTGTTGGAGAAGGGGACATGAAACCTTGCCGCACTATTTCGATAAATATAATACTAGCTTCAAAGTATAAAATCCACATAAATAAATCAGTTGTAATGCCATTAAAATTTTAATACAAGTAATTAAACACACAATCCAATTTATAGCATTATAACCAAAAGTGCCATGAAAGGTTGGAGCCCAACTCTTAGATAAAAAATTAATCATAATGTTACAAAAACAAAAACCCAAGAAATATTAATGTTGGCAGTAGACATTAAGGAATTTAAATCTATCCCTTCAATTGTTGTGCTGACTTGCTCACACAAAACTTTCTCGATGATTGTTTACCGCAGAGCTCAAAATTTAATTTATATGTAGAGAGTTTTGGTGCTGATAACGTGTTGTGAAAATAAAAGAAAACATAATTGAGAGAGAATTAATCTAAGTATATTATTCCATATATTAGG